AGAGAGAGAGAGAGAGAGAGAGAGAGAGAGAGAGAGAGAGAGAGAGACTGTTTTTCTTGTCTCCTGTCTTCTGATATCTACATTGAATTTTACGCTTTACCTTTCACTTTTTAATACCCCGTATCTTTGAAAACAATCCGTAATAAACCCATTACTGTTTTGACCAAATTTGCTCAATGTTATATTTGCTGTAAAGAAAGATTGCCTGATGGGCAGCAGCAAGGTGTGGGTGTTAGAGGTTAAGTGCCTCCAACATATCCATCTTCACGGAGGCCAGTGACATGCTGCTTTTGATGTGACAATACAGATTTGGCTGGCCAGGTTCTCGGGATGGCTGCAGGGTTTTGACTCAGCAGTCATCCGTATGCATAGTAAATATCCTCTTGTGTATCTCGATTTAAATGCTAGGTAAAGCAGAAGCGGGATAGTCAACGTCGATCACAGCAATCTACAATGAAGGTAATCGTTGTTATATCATATTATCAAACTTGTTAAATAGTATCAAATTGGTATTTAATCTAATCGGTAATGGGTTAATCTTATGCATTATTATTTTTCTATTTTCATCTCGACCATAGATATGTCTCATTGCTGGTTAGAAATGTGAACGCATCTTCATACATCCTTTTATTTCTTTAAATTGCATAAATAGGAAATCATGTCTGGCATTGCAGTAATTGAAAACATGATATCGCGGTGGTGTCATTATATTCTGTATACTGGGAACCTCTCGCCTGTCAAATTCTCGCTATTCACTGATAAATCTATTTTCGCTCAGTGTTAATTTCGCCTTTTACATGTTATTCCTACGTATAGCATTTCATGTACTTATTTTCACTGTCGTGATCAATTCGCCCTCATTCTGAAGGGTAAAAGTTAAACTAGTGCGGCGAAAATATCGCGATATACAGTAATCGGCTTGCTTAAGGTAAGGTCTGACAAAATGAATACATTTATAGATACAACTTAATAGTCATAACCAAGCTACAACTACAATAACACGGCTTTACTCATGTTATCGTTTGGTTAACGAATATATATGACTTTTAGAACCTAACTGGATTATATAATAAACAAGGAAGCGACAAAAAGCACAAATTATGCTTTGATTGACCATATCTCATTGTCTTAACAGGCCTGGCTGTGGATGTTACTGGCACTGCCGGCTATTGGGGCCCAACCCTTGATGAACGCACCGCCTAGTAAGTAGGATACTACAGACAATTTTCTTTGTCGTTGTGATTTTATTATAAGACAACTAGTTAGTAGGGATACATATGAAGCTATTATATTAAAAGTTAAGTAACGAGTTGCATTAGACCTAGGTAAAAATTAAGTGGAAATGCAGGTAATTGGTCACAGTACTAAATTACAAGTACATTATATCAGAATAGCCAATGAACTTAAAGAAAATCTAAATTTTAAGACCGTATCTCTTAAAAAATAACAGAAATATGATTTTCTTCAACGAGTCATAATTACAATATTTCCTTTGTATACTGAAGATTCCGTAAATTGGATGATATCTTTTTCTTAGCATTAATCATCAATGCATCATTCCAATGTCACATAAACAATTATTTACGCACACCGTTAGACATGAAGGAGGTGTAAAACGCGAATTTTTGTCCTCGCTAATAAGTACAGAAATGTCATTTCTGTATGCGTAATAGAAGTAATCTACAGTACTAATTCAATATGTTGTGCCAGTAAGAACTGTCATCTTCAATGCGTTACACACGAATTCCGGCCAATCCAAGAGCAAAAATTTCAGAAAACAACACATCCCACACAACCATTCATAATTTATATTTATGTATTCTGAACTTTAAGGATATTACATGTTAACAAGTAAGGATATTTTCAATTAATTTCATTAGCTTGAATACTATTCTTGTAACTGTTAAAGCTCTCGTGTTTATATGATGTTTTGTTGTCGTCCAGATTGTATACAGCCAGCCAAGCCCGGGTCTTGTTCGGCCGGCATCACCAACCACTTCTACAATACCACTTCCGGTCAATGTGAAACCTTTGTTTTCGGAGGATGTGGGGGCAACGACAACCGGTTCCAGAGTAAAGAGGACTGCGAGAGGAGATGTTCCTGCCACATGCCCCCAGACACCGGGCCGTGTCGGGCGAGCATGGAGAGGTGGTACTATAACGAGAAGAAGGGATGTTGTGAGCGCTTCACATTTGGAGGCTGTAAGCCAAACGGAAACAATTTCGAATCAAAAAAAGGGTGCGAGAGGACGTGTAACTGGAGCGTTCCTGGGAAGCAGAAACCACTGGGCATAGAGTGGGGAACTGGATACGACCGGAGGCTCGGAGAAATCGTATACAAGAACTACGGCACAACGTACGGCGGAAGTGGTACCATCTGGCTACACAATGAGATAGAGACTATGAAATCTGCTCCCCAGGCAGGTAGTCAAATCATGGGCATTATCAAGAGGACGGGCAGACGCCAAGTGCCAGGAGTACAGACTAAATTACAGTTTAAAATGATGATGGGAGGAGGCCAGGGTGGAGGTCAAGGTCAAGGAGCTGGTGGAATGGTCAGCGGTGGAGGTTTGACGAGTGGTGGAAGTGGCGGGATGATGAGCTCCGGTGGAGGAGGTGGTATGATGTCTTCCGGTGGAGGTGGTGGAATGATGAGTTCTGGTGGAAGTGGAGGAATGATGAGTTCTGGCAGAGGTGGTGGTATGATGACATCCGGCGGAGGTGCCGGGATGATGAGCTCCGGTGGAGGAGGTGGTATGATGACTTCCGATGGAAGTGCCGGGATGATGGGGCCCGGTGGAGGAGGTGGTATGATGACTTCCGGCGGAGGTGCCGGGATGATGAGCTCCGGTGGAGGAGGTGGTATGATGGCTTCCGATGGAAGTGCTGGGATGATGGGCCCCGGTGGAGGAGGTGGTATGATGACTTCCGGTGGAGGTGGCGGAATGATGGGTTCTGGCGGAAGAGGTGGTATGATGACTTCCGATGGAAGTGCCGGGATGATGGGTTCTGGCGGGGGAGGTGGTATGATGACTTCCGGTGGAGAGGGCGGAATGATGGGTTCTGGCGGAAGAGGTGGTATGATGACTTCTGGTGGAGATGGTGGTATGATGACTTCCGGTGGAGGTACCGGGATGATGGGTTCTGGTGGGGCTGGCGGCTGGCAAAATGGGGGAGGACAAGGAGCAGGATTCGGCCCAGGAATAAGGAACTACCAAGTCTAAAGACATTATAGTGTCTCAATGATATATGTGTGTTAATGACCAGAGTGATCTATCGTGTTCTCCGGATTAGGGTAAATTATACGAGGTAATTTTAAACAAATGCGAACAATGTACTTGTTCTGTATATTCTAGGATTTCGCTTCCTAATTGTGTTAATATGATATTTCAATATGACTAGACTACATGAACTTAGCCGGTATATACTATTTCGCGTGACAGAATTTTAATATACGGATTGACCTTTTCTTTTCTCAATATGTCACACTTATTAATGATGTTTTCCATTAAAACTTTTTGAAATCAATATCCATTTGTTAGTTGTGACCGGTTTTAATACCATCTCACAAATGTTAATCGTTGTCTCTAACGAACAAGTAGTATTTCAACTTTTATATTTTCATATATAGCAAACATTTATGTAACAGTTTCATGGAAGTACAGAAATGTTCGTGGATGACTATAACCTTATCCTTTTTATATTTTTGCTGGTAGGTGAATATTAGTTGTTTTATTTACTGATCTCGAACTTACGGCTAATAACAGTTTTTAGTTCGCTTTGTAAACCAAACTTAAGTTTGTTAAGAAACATTTATTTGACATACGAAGCCACTGTGGACGTCGTAACAGCACACGTTTCACCATATATAACAGCAGTGTAGAGCCAGCAGGGATTACCTGTCACCCGGCTATGATGAAGAACGCCCAAAGACGAAAAACAGCCAAAACCATACACAGTTTCACTGTAGATGGCTAGCTAAACGTTATCCAGGCCAACGTATTCTCAGCGCTGGTTAGGACATCATCAATTTAACGTTAGAATGACAGTTTTTGTTTACTTCCTGCCAAGTGAAATTCACAGGTCTTGGTCCACGGACATGACCTTTTAACATATGACGTCGGGAAAAATATCCCATTTTTTTCCTTGTGATATTTCTTTTATGTTATATAAAATACAAAACACATTAGAAATGTATCTGATATCAGTTAAAGGTATTACATTTTTTTATACAATTAACATACCTATGTTAAAAGTAAGTTATATGGAACTGGGAGTTTTGATTTCCCGAACAGAACATTTATTATAAGCATTTTACGTTTAATTTTGTAAAACAAATAACCACTCGCTAGCCTTTTAAAACAAGATATGTTATTATTGTCTGTTATATTTCTTGACAATTACCAGGGTTTAATTATTCCATTAGAAATGCTGTTATTGGAAACACCATCCAAATTATTTAAACAAATGTAATAATGAAGGATCTCTACCTAAATAGTTCTGATTTTAGGAATCCATGGCAAACATTTACTAAATTATTTATTCTAGCCGACACATTGGGATTGTTTTTGAACAAATGTGTTTACAGACAAACTCGTCATTTTCCCTTGCTATAAGAAAAAGAAAAAGAAAACATTGCTTCGCGACCACATTTCGATACCCTCTCAGTGGATGTGCAATCCATCGTCCAATTCTTTTGTAATAATGAAACATGTTATAGAACTATAATGAACCTTGTCTTAATATATATGAAATCAAGATATTTCCAATAATAAACAATATTTTAAACTGTTACCCGGAATAGATTTTTTTTCACAGCAGGGAATTAAATAATTTTGTAAATGATAGGACAGTGGTTGTATTCTTCAAAGATATTCCACAAAGAACAACAAAAGGTCTTAAGTTTGTTGAGAGACGTACATTTGCATATATGTAGTAAGATACAGTTGAAGTCGTGGTGTACAAAGTGAAGCCCCAGACAATGTTTGTCACATGTAATTATTTCTGGTGTCAGAAGTCCTATAAACGCCACAATACGATATATTATAGCAATAGAAAAAGAACATAATTTAACTTCCTCACACGATGAAGCAACACCTAAGATGTCGGCTAATGTCGAGGCCGTTGTGAGCAGTAAACACTTCTCGTTAAATAGATATGAGTAAGTTCAGGGATTATTTTAACCCTCTGATATTAGCACAGATCAGTACATAATAAATTACTATGAAACTATCATGCATGTGAACACTGAAATTTGAGATCAACTCTTTGTTTTGGGACTGATGGTTATAAAGTATACAAATCAGGTATATATAAGAGTGAATACAAAACATGCAAGGAGAAAATGGTTTCTTTCACATATAGGTACAATTTTGAATCGGTAATATTTTGCTATGATAAACAAACAACTGAAAATAAAGCGTATACGTTTTAGGATTAGATTTATCATTGTGGAACTTTACACTGTAGTCTATCATTATTTCCGCTTTTCGTGTGATGGTATTTTACTGCTTTTCCCATCTGTTTGTGCATTGGATACAATATATGCAACATAAATTGTAGCTTCTCATAAATTTCCTAACCTTTTGTTACCAAACATGTACCATAAACAGGTTTTCAACTTTGGTTTCCATCCCGGTCATTAGGACTTAAGCTAGGTTTTTGAATATATAATGTATGCATCAAGAACAACAAAGAATTAAATATTTCAAGGAAATGTCATTTCATCAAATGATAAGAACATGACAGACATGGTAACAACAATACCAACAATGTTGTATCATAAACATATTTACAACATAAACAATATCTTGAATATATATAATTCAGTAAAGGTATAGCACAAGAAAACGCAACTGTAACTATCAACTGTAAATTTAACATAAACTTTGCTACAACCGCATTTACATCTAACTTCATCTAGAAAAGAGACAATAATCTGACAGAAAATACGTATGACTTAACACTCCGAATCGAAAGATCGTACTAATTATGTAATATTCCTGACACGGACCCCATCCTCTATAAAAGATCCTTCTTTACAACAATTGAACAAGATCTGTATAATAAAGGCTAAGTTTTTTTAATGAACACAAACAGTTATAAGTTTTCAATTCCTGTTTGTGTTCAAAACAAACTTTGCCTTTATTATTTATACAAAACTGATGGATCTTATTCTGAAGTATCGACACTTTGATTATTAATAAGCCAATGTAATGGTTTGATCAATGTGTAGCCATAAACCAAATATATAAATGCATAGAAGCTAAGTAAGTTGTTTTCAGCGGTTAAGAGTTGAGACACCGGTCATTTACACTCATTGCTTGACAAAGTGAAACAGACGTTTTCGAAGCTCGCAAAATAAGTTTACAGTTCAGGTTAAACTATGTTTCTGTAATAAAAATAAACTTTATTTTTCGAAGATAAAATACATGTTAAGCCAAAAGCTAATCTTCTACATGGTCATCTAATGTGGAATATAAATCTTTAGCAAATCTGTGTACTAATTGAATGCTTTAAATAACAAAAGACATGTTCCGTGAAGCACTGAACTACATAGATCTCTTTGTGAATGTGCACTTAATTTATGCATAGTTAATGTAAAAAACAACACAATGTGACAGTGTATTAATCTTGTGCATTTCCGTCAGATACGTTTATTCTCGGACCCCGACAGAAACCCCAGGTCTAAAACTAAAATAATAGCAAGTATATGTTTTGTACATCCTTGTCAATTTTGTCAAAAATTGAAAGTTGTACCTATATAAGCTATAATGTTATTGATGAATGAACTGACGACAATGGAGATGGATAAAAAATCCAAAAGTTTCTAATGCGGCAAAATTTGATGCTTTAACTCCATAACAAAAATTTGAACGATTACACTTATCATTATACAGATTTTAATAACTTCTTATCTGTTAAAATAAGATTTGAAAATCTCACTTGAATTAAGCACAAGTATTACAAAAGGCAATTTATCGAAGTAAAATTCAACTGAAAACATTTATGGAAGTAGTGTACTCAGCCCTAACTTGTTCTTGAAACAGAAATATATATATGATATTTCCAAGCCGAATGGATATAGCGAAAAAAAACCCCAAGAGATACGCAACGATTAAAAGCGAAATAATATAGCCAACCATGAACTGGGTGCTTCGCGGAACTAAATAATATTTTAACGGCGGGAGCAGGTACTATGTAGTTCTAATAAAAATAAAAAATAAACTAATCTATTCGCATAAAGAATTATAGAATATCCAGGATGAAAAGCCTATTCTATTCTTAAAAAGAAATATGCTACTGTTTGTGGGAATTCAGTAGGGATATGCATAGATTCTTATTAACAGAAGATTTTTTTTTTAATATCGAAGAAAGAAAATGCAAGCATTGAACAGCTTTAAGTTGTCATTCGTAGTCAATTGAATGTCAACTGGAAATGCATATTCCAAGGTTTTTCGTCAGTTTCCAGTTGACATAAAGAAATCCTTCAAATGCCGATTGAAACATTCCGATACTTAAATACATATATTATTATCGTATTAATGAAATTCATAGCGAAACTAATACAAAAAAAGAGAAAGTTATGTGTGAATTTTTAATTTCATTAAATGGCACACTCGTTTTCAAAGCTCATTGATAATTAAATAGCTATAAAATGGCATAAGTATGCAATAGTTAACACAGATATGCATAAAAAAAGTTCATTTTGAGGCTCAGTTTGTAAAATGAAGTACTGGCATTAAAAACATGATATTATACATTTTTCATTACATGTTAAGTGAAAAGTTGATAAATGTGCTACAAATTAATGATGACAGAATTTGAGAATATGTTCTTAAAGACATTATCAGGCGAAATCAGATGATCAGAAGGGTACTTGCACCAACTTTGGAACCAGTCATGATGAGTGTTGTCTTATACAGAAAAAAAAGTATAATAAAGTTGGTTATCGACGATTTAACTAGCAACATATCATGGTAGACACTGAAATGATTTGGAATTTGTGTAATAATGAAAACAGTAAAGAATTCTTCCACATAGATTTAAGTAGCACAGGTAGATAAATATAACTTTGGCGAAGTAGTTCATTTGGTATTAGGACACCATCTTCTAAGAAAATCCAGTTGCATGGAACAGGCTCTAAAGTTGTTAATCAAATGTGACATGTACACTCCGTTAGCAGGAGAAGTGGGATACTGTGGAAATAATATCTTCCATTAAATGTAATGTACCACAACTGAAATGCAAGTGGCTTTCAGAATTATAGATATTGATTCAAATCAAATTTATTTGGGGCCCTCTGATATACTATTTTACATTGTGTAACACTTTAAATGCTTTCTTTTCAATTATGAAAATGGTATGATTTATTCGGTAATCGCCCCTTCCAAAATATGACACATTGCAAACTAATTCTGCACAGTAGTACATATCATGATTCTAAGTCGTTCGTATATAAAATGGCTGGTTACTGACGTCATCAAGCTTGTGTGCTGTCATTTGGTGACGTACACATAATGTGTGTGGGACGTTTACATTATATGAGAAGTTATTATGATGAACGTTGCTAATGGTCACGTTTGATGCCGGATATTAATGTGGGACGTAGTATGGCCAATGCAATACGTAAATCATATGTCGTTTGACAGAACGTATTGTAGCGGTCGGCCAACCTATCTTTGCTATACACCCATACTTAGTTCCTCGTTACCACATCGGTCGTGACTGCCACTTCGTCATGTTATATTTTATTACTCAGGATCATGTCATTTTGCATCATTGACAATGTCCACTACATACCAATGTCAATCATTCACTGTCTCCTATCAATGAAGGTCAGTGGACACTGACCCGCGTTGTCCTAATTATTACTTACTAGCTTTTTTATTTGTCCCTTACTCTATTGTCCTACACTTCAGCATATAACAGACTATAAGTTAACACTGTAACATCAATATCAAAAACAATATCAAAAAATAGAAGATTATGAAACATTAGATAACAATATTATATTATCATGTTAAAACACGAAAAGTTAATTAAAATGAGTTCGTAAATATGATAACAATGCTATAATCTGTTATTTGAATACGACAATTATTCGAACCCAACGTGTCGCATTTAATACATGTGAAAACAGGATTTCCCATTATGCAAATTATTTTTTTAAATCTTAAGCTTATCTATTCACTTGGATACTTGTATTAATATTTTGCTCGTCATGCATATTGTGTATTTTCAAGAATACATTTGACTTAGTTAAAAGGTTGGTTACGTGAATTATATCGATGTACTTCCCTGTAGATCTATATAATATCATAACTTTGTTATAATAAGCATCATATATAGATATTTTTTATCTTGCTTTTACAATTTGATTTATTGCCCGAATTGTGTATTTCCTGTGAGGTGCGGTTAGATGTAAAGACATGAAAAAGTACACAAGTTAAATATTGCACGCTCAACATATTTTGGAATATGGCTACCAATGCTATTTCCATTGTTGAGAGAGACAGGAAAAATAGAGTTGGAAGGAGGAAGCCATAAATCGTGTAACCTAGTAAGTAGCTCGTAAAGAATGTACACGAGATTAATAATCGTGTCTTCTACATCCCAAGCCTAATGTTTCTTTGTAAAATGCGCATGACAATAGGTATTAACATTCACCTGTTGATGTGAAAAATTCTACAAACAACAAAACCTTAGGTTTTTTCCTGAAATATCCGTCGTAAAAAACGTCAAAGGTCATTTAAAGAACTGCTCAAATTCGTTTTACCCACTCATATTTGTGAGTATTTTTTTTTTATTTTGCTTTTATAGGATTGTTAGCGAAATGAGCCGATACACTTGTCATGTCGTATTATTTGACTGGACGGTGGGTAGGACGTAGCTGTCACATGCTAATATGAACATATACGTGACACCAATCGGGACAGTTCCGTGCCACTGACTTCTTGTCATTCTCGCGTCTAATATGCATATCCGTCAAAAGTGATATTACGCACAATCTGGATATTTCGAACCACGGCGGACCGGCGTTCACATTCTCCTGGTGGTGAGCAAAAGGTTGACTGGACTCTTCTTACCTTATGTAGAACAGCAGAGGTAAATTATCTTGTACTTCGGGAAGTGTTCTAATGGATCTGTAGTGCAATCCAACTTTTATAGTAAGTATTACAACTAACATGTGTATGTAAAGACAACTTATTTCATAATCATAACTAAACTTACTGTTCAGAGTTGAAGAAAATATATTTAGTACACACTTCACTTCATATATTATGTTTAATTGTAGGGTTTCAAATTTATAAAAACAAAAAGAAAAAATAAATCAAGAAAAGGTTAATTAATCATGCTGATTTATTTTGACTTTGATATTTGCTAATAGAGCAATATGAATACCATGGTTTGGTTCAGGAAAAAACCGTAATCCATTTCAGGGTTTTCCAATTCAGTGAAAATGATTATAATAACATCAACTTTTGATAATGCTTTCGTTTATTGAGTAAAACTTCTTGGTTGCTACTTGTATTGTAAAATGCATTTGATTTCTTTTGTTTTATGAATGCGTTCATTAAAAAATTCATCAGTTTGGAAATATGTAAGATCGAAATTATACTTTATACACAAACAATATAGTCAGTCATAGCCTGACAAAGGGACCAGTCCGTCTTCAAACGTTGCGACACGTTTATTACGTACATTGTGTGTGTGTCAAGTAAAACTTCGATATTCGTGAATACAAATTATTGTTTTCTACGGATGCCGGTAAATGCCACTTGAACTATTACATTCATAATTACGAGTTAAATATCACGTAGCTACGACTAAGTATCTCATATTAACGAGATTGTTTATTCGAAATTACGTTAAACATAACTCGTAGTTACAACTACTCATGCACAAGGGCACGGTGGGTTTGCTTTACCTGTACAAATACAGCTGCAATGGAAAGTCAAAATACATCGATTTGAGGACTATTATTCTGCACATATTTTATTTGTATATACCTATTTCAGGTAGATACATAGATAAATGTAACACATGTCAATAGTGAAATTTATTCTGTGTAGTGATTAGAAAGATCAATATTTTATTCGTGCTTTTTTCAGTCGTACTTAATATATAATTATGTATTCATTTCAACTTAAAAACAGACATGGGGCTCTACATTGCAATTTAAAAATCAGATACCTGGTTTTTAATTTTTACAATTAAAGCCTTTTAATAAAAAAAAATCGTTTTGCTACAATTTATAGGAAAATGTAAAAATGATAACGAATGAAATTAATAACTTAAGTCCGAATTCATGGTTTGCAAATTGTAGTAAATGTATTTTCGCTATTTCCTAGATTGAATTAGCTTGGTCGTTATTTTGTTATAAATATGAATTAGGGATTTTTAAGGCTTTTTGTTGAAAATTCGAGGAAGCTAACTGATACATACAAAATGCTATGTCATACTTATAGTTATAATTTGTCAATATATATATATCAATATTTGCTGATACTGTTTCACACACAATGAAGTCTGGAAATAAATGAACCATATTCAATAAACTGTTTAAACTAGAACGAAAAACCCCCCATTTTGATCCATTGTTCCAATCAAATTAATGATATATACAAATCGTATTGTAGTTTGTTATATACCTGCTTCAGTATATTACAACTAAAATAAAAGTAATTGTAGAAATGTCATACTTGCTTCGAGTTTCAGTCTATGGAACAATCATGTCAGTGAAACAATGTGTTACACAATAACTGATTTTATGGCTATATGTGTCAGGATTTATCGTTTTACGAGCACATGCTATATTCATACAATAAGTACTTTTCTTAACTAGATCATATCCATAACTATAATAAACATTGACTGGACGTCTTTATTTGCATTTAATAGTCGGTGACCGTGTCGGTTGTCTTTCAGATGAGTCCTCAGGTTGTTGGCCTTTTGCTTCTCACCTTTGCCGCCCTGGTCAAGACGACCAATGGACAGGCACCAATTCAAAATAGTTTCTTTGGACAAGGGGAGATGCTTGACCATGGTAGGTAAACAGAATGATATGTTAATGTTCTTTTTGTTTTATTTATTCATCGCCATGCCGTACCATAAACAAATCACCATGCAATGCACAATATTTCTGACTTTTTACACACGAAGTAAAATCATCATATCATTCAAATTAGCGCTGAATTGAATGAAATATAATATCCTTCATTGAAAGTGGTGTTCCTATTGCAATAGTGCTGAAATGTTCACTTTGTGTCGCTCTTGTCACCCCTAACCGATAACAACAAGAATTCCAAATTAAAATTATGAATATTCTGTAGTAATATTCACCGATAGGTTTTGTTGGAAACATATATATTTCTTATACAACATGTGATATGAATAATTCTTATGACTTGCAGCAGATTGTCACTCACAAGAACCATATTTGTTGTTAACTAAAATCACCTTAGAATGTTGGCCACTATATCTTGTTTTGCCTTATTTAAGGATCCCTGTACCACTGCAGGCAAAATACTTGATATCCAATTGAGGGTTTCCGTATACACAGTTACTTCTCCTTACTGTGGTTTCACAATTCACTTTTAACCCTAAAATCTAACATACACTAGTCCACATTCCTTACTGTAGCCAATACAACAACTGTATCTAGAATTCAAATAATTATTAAAAATATGAAGTGTGTCGGTAAACCTGCTTAGTATTGATGAACGACACGACCATTGCAATCGTGGTACTTCTAAATCGTACAACATAACTCCCATTGTGCCAGACATGCAAGGACATTTATCACCGTAATACACAACACAAGTGAATTCTTGGTACAGTCATATTTTGAAAACCCTCTCGGTCTTCTTTCTACTAAGGTCGCCACAACCACCTTTTGTTTTATTGCCTATTTCAAAACCCATTTATTAATGTATGCTTCATAGAACTTACAAAGTAGAGGTAACACAGTTCCGAGGGCCACCACGGGGGCCTTTATAGTCTCCACCGTGAGATCAAAACCTGTTTCTACGTCATTTAACGGAATGATTGTTGGTCCTTAAAGGGGTTGGTCGGGGAAAAAATGTCATATTTGCTAAAATAGCATTCACATGTTTAAAACACCTTCTTATGAAATACACCGATTCAAATTTTGCTGAAATTCACTCCCTAAGAGTAAAAATTATAATTATATTAAAGAAATCCTAAATCGTCACCTGACCAGTCTTAAACTCTCAATTGACCCAGATGAGTGATGTAATTTTACCGCACGCGCGTCATCAACAAGGCCAAATGTAAACATCGCGGCGAAAGAAAAAGATGCATGCAAAAAGTCATGACAGGCACGAGGTATCAATACCGTTATATATAACAACAACATATAGGTAGGAATACTACACTTGCATCATACATGACCTTTGAAAACAATTATTTACGTATAGTATTGCTGTCTTGTCCGCTATTGTTGAGTCCGACATGGCACATGACGGCGTGCTATTGTTGTTATCTTCACTGCCTCACTTTCGAAACAATCACGTGACATATATAAATAGATCTGCGCTAAATTTACGCGGGGCTTCCCCGAGATTTCAGTGGTAAAAACTGGAAATTGCAAGCAGAACTCGACCATCATATTGCCGTGGTTTAACTTTTGGAAGGCCAGAGAACGCATTTAGACCCATTTATTTTGTATTTTTTTCCCCCGACCAGCTTTAAGTGTTCGGGTTACAAGGCTACTTCCAACTAAACAATACTTAAAGTTTTTCTGAATTTCTTGGTCGGATGAAGGTTCTTGTCTTTGTGCTTGATATAGATCATAATTACAATTTTTGTGCGCATGCATCGAATATACAAAAACTTAACATTCAAAACCTGCAAGGAGTTACGCTCGTTTGCGTTCTCTGCATCCCTAGAATATGTCAATACGTTGTTATTTGTGTCTGGTAAAGAGAACTAACCAGTCGTTAGACAGATACCACTTCTTTGGAGATTGAAAAGGAGCAACGTCTGACTACAACGCTTCTTAATTTTACTGTTACGCTACCGCGCGATTTTCGGTTGTGCATCAAAATATCTCACTGGTCTATTTCTACCATTTACAAGGTGGTGCTAACGTAAAGAGAGTGAAGTCAATGACATTTAAGGGATCAAATACATATGGCTAATTTGTCATATACCGAGTTCAGTTTCTATGTTCTTATTTTGTTTTATGTTGTTACTAGTAAACGTGAATACCGAAATAATGATAAACATATCGAAAAGTCTCTTCTGATCTAAACCTATTTATTTTCCCCTTGGTGACAACTGGAATGAAAATGTGTTTACAAAATAAATGAACACTCTTTTCTTTATGGTCATCAAGTTAGAATACAATGCTGACATTCAACACAATAAACATATTATTCAAGAACCTTACACACAGGAGAAAGAATATAAAAAATACTTCAAGCATGTTATGATAAGAGATATGTACAATGTAGAAAAGCATATGTAATGTTCATGTATGTTCAAAGTGAAATAGAAAAAAATAAAGGTCGAGAAAAATTCATTAGCGCCAACACTGGGGCAAATAAAAGAAACCAGGAGGTAAAGATTTACTTAAACAAAACTTTAAACGTTGCAAGTAAAACAACTCATGCATTACAGCATATAACAAGAAAAGTGTGAAGCCGAACCTCCCCTTTCCTTCGTACCAGTCGGCTGCAAGTCGTAAACCTTAATTAATGCATTGTAATATGTAGCAAGGTATTAAGCTAATTTGTCACAAGTTAATTCGGCTAACTAATTAAGAGCTTAATTACCCTGTCCAAAACAAATTTGACAGTATATTTCACAGCCTATTGTACATTTCTCACTGTAGAACTCGTTGGCAGTAAGTAATTAATAAGTCTTTAAACATAAGCATAATTGAAATAGGTATCATTGTAATCATAGATGGTAACGAGGAAATCCCTTTTGTCTCCAAATTAACATGTTCTGTGCATGTATTATAAGAAAAGGATGTAGGTTTACAGGACGTCCTGTATGTGCCGTGTTATTTGACGGAAAGACTGATGTTAATAAAAAAGTAAAACGTAAACGTAAACCTTTGTGAAATTGCAAAAATGAATTGAAATTAATTACCTTAAATTAAAAAAAACCCGTTATGCCTGTAGTTGAGCTACACGATCATGTAGACGAATTTGTTGTAACAATGTGCGTGTTTTTCAGCACATTGGTGCATAAACAACTAACTTTCTGCTTTTTTTCTTTCTCAGAGTGCTACGAGCAACCATACCGGACGACATGTGTAGGTCCTATCCCGCGCTTTTTCTACAACGCCACCACCAAGCATTGTGAACAAATAAACAATGTATGCGGGCATGGTGGCTCCTTTAGTCTACAAGAGTGTGACAATAGGTGCACCTGCCGACTCCGTCCTGAGGCAGGTACAAATACGTGTCATGGAGCAGTAGACTCGCAACGTTTCTTTTTCAACCAGAATGCAGACATGTGTTTGCCGTTCACATACTATGGCTGTGAAGGTAATGGAAACAACTTTGGAACTTCCGTGGAGTGTACCATGCAATGTAATGCTCCGCGCGAGATAGACCAGGGTGACGTAATGAGAAGCCTGGGCTTTACTAATGAAAAGGCATTCGAAGCGCAGGCTGGTTTGTTCAATTATGGAGCTCCTGCCCCACATCCACCCCCACCCCCACGTCCACCCCTACCCCAACAGCCAAAATTCAATCCACCAGTGCCTTCTCCACAGCATCCACCCTCTCATCCGTCTCCACCGACTCACCCTACCCAATCGCGACCATTTCCACCCCCACCTCGTCACCCACCATCACCACCAACGGGAGGCCACTTTCCCCCTACTTCTTTGTGGAACAACCATCCTACACCGACACATCGCCCACGGTGGCAGCCCCCACCTCCACCACCAAATCAAAGATCGTCTTACACACCGGATATGAGGTCACCTCGTCCTCCCCCGAATAAACAACCACCATTTGGAAACCACCCGATGTCTAGACAAATTATACCACCCCCCTCCCCTCATGGTACTAATAACGGAATGGGTAAAAGCAATCGAAATCCTAACCAAGGTTTCTTTGGTAAAACAACTTTCAGTATGAACAATGTTCAGGATAAACCTAAACACTTTACAAAAAATCCAATTAGCCGATCAGGACCTCGGAACAACAGAGGTGGTATGAATTGGAATCGTCCTAACCAAGGTCAAGTGACTATTCAGCCGACCCCTATCGTGTCAATGGCTCAGTCAACCATGATGCCCATGAGAAATAATTGGCGTGGAAACATCAATCAGGGTCATCAAGGTCCCCCAAGACACCAAGGGAACCTTGGAGGTAATAACATAGCACCCAAGCCAACCAAAAGTGGCCAAGGTATAACAGCCGGTTCCTTGAATCAACCAAAGGTCGAAATTGTAAAAGCTACCACGACTCAGTCGAGTGTTGGACTCAACAATCGCGGCACAACTGACTATTATTATTATGACAACACTGGGTACTCACAGGGTACCACAGCAGGTTTCTTTAACAACCTCCGGTCGAGTTGGGGAAATATGAGACGACGCATGGGCAAGTGAGGCCGCCTTCTTACTGACTATGGAAGAAGAACTTAATTTATCATGACTTATATTTGTATCACCTCTTAGAGGGTAACCATGAAGGTATCTCTTACTTTGACAGATTGTGCATGTAAAATAAAACATCTTATATATACCATATATTTCATACGATATACGATATATATTTTTTCAATCGTTTAGATATAATCGCTATATATACATATTATGAAAACATGATATTGGTATCCTTGTTAAATTCTAAATATTGATAAAATAAACGAAGACTATTGTAGAGTATTTTCCATTTCTTTAAAGGCTCGTCAAAGAGGCCATGAGCTGTATTTGTTTATTATTCATATTTGACGCACGCGTGCTGAAGAATGTCTGCTTAGGTCACAGGCATTACGCTAAACATTGTTTCCTGTCCTCCTCAAAAGAGAAAAGTTGTAAAATGATTAGGATGTTGTTTTAACTGATTAACGTAATGTTTCGCTATCAATTGCTAAAATATCTCGTATGATGACAATAGTCTGAAATCGCTTCACAATAATTACAGAAAATTGGCTCTCGCGTATTGAAACAATCACATTCTATGAATTTAGAAAAAAAAATGGCAAATGTTGATGGAATGTTTTCATTACAATAAAGTATAAGTTGGAAAGTGATTTTGAATGATTTTGACATCGTGTCCGTGTCACATGTTTGTTCTGCTATATTGATTGTGTAGTATGTTGCGATGCGTGTGCTTACCGAATTTTGAAAGAAAGTCGTGTGGTGATATGTTTTTCATGTTTATAATCAACAATGTTTATTCCAACATATTTTATATGAAATTCCTAAGAATTGTAATAATGATATATTTAATAGAAAAGAGTATTTGGCTTTTAATGTACTCGAGAAAATACCAACGTAGTTCTGAGCTATTTTATTGCTTTGAAATACGAGGTTATTTATTTTATTTAAGTAGAATTACATATATTTGTAAATCTTCTTGATGATATTTTTAATGCAGTTATGACAATACAAGGACAAGTCTATATTGGACTTTTCCGCTTTGTAGGCGAAAAATAAAATAAATTGGTCTTGTTTTTCTTTGTTTTTACTGTTCCTTTACTGCACATGATCTTTGAAACATCGGCTTTGCTGTCGTGATTTGTTTTAAAAAGAAGTTAAATCAATTTTAATATTTCCAAAGAGGTTAATAATAACGCAAACGATTTGAATTTGCAATTGACGTATGCTCATTGCGAATAAACACAAGGAAGTAAAAATTTTAAAATTTTCTTTTTGTTCCCTGATTTAAAAAAAAAGTGTCTGAGGAATATAATACCCTGTCGATTTCGCTTTTATCAAACGCATAAAGACATTTTTGTCATTCTATAATGCACTCATTTAAGGTATGAAAGAGCGGAACATTATTATATGATGCATACTAGACTAATTGCTTAAACATGAACGTTTTATGAAGTATGTTTTATATCATTGTTATATAGTATGGGGCAAAGAAGTTGTTATATTGTTATAACAATTACTATTGTTATATAGTATATATACTATTTTTAGTACGTCTACAATTGTCCGAACAGCCCATTTATACCGCGTGTATGGGTATTCTAAGGTCACGACAGACAGGCTATACCTCACAGTATGTCACTAAAGACGTCAGTCTGACAGACAGCCAGACGTACATAAGGACACCACTATCGTTAGGAACGTGTGCACAAGATTGCAAACTTTAACAGTTTAACATTTCTCCAAAAATGCAGCTAAGACGAATGAATGTGTATTTTATATTATTTTTCTTTTTACAAAAAAATAAATAAAAACTCAATTCGTCAATGAATTAAGCATACGTAAAAGATCTCAAATGCATATTGAACAAGTGTGAATCTTAACATTGGTGAATTTTCTGTCAATATTTTTGTATATATGACATGGGGTTGAGGCGTTTTAATCTGATTTGATAAAAAATATATACTTTTAGCTTTCAGCGATGAGTGTCATAAAGTATAACACAGAATAATACCACGAAAAAAATCACCAAACGTATTTAGTATTTACAGTTTTTAAATCGCTTCTTTAATGATAAATATTGAAAACAGTGACAAAGGTGGACAAACAATCATGTTCCTGAGGATAGTATGGTGTTCGAACTATGCTAACTAAGGTAAGATGTGACCTACTACCATTATGTACAATGTAACCATGACAATCGCCCTTTGTATCTAAATAGATTTATCGTTTAAATGAATTGATTTTCCATGATACCATTTCCCACTACTTTTTAAGATATGTTAAGAGTGTCTTCCACTGTGAACGATAATTTTACTTTTTTTTGTACGATGTAATTTCTAAAATTTGACAGGTGCCACTTGGTGCTCAGAAAATGCTTATACTTCAGAGAACATCTAGTGTCTGTTTTAATTTTATGCTTGTTTTTTTTTATTTATTTATTTTTAAATATCTATTGTTGTGTATTCTTATTCACTAATAACAGCTGACTTATATACATATATATATCATTCTGTAAATCAATGCTATGACGAATGCTTCTTCTAGAATCTATCTAATCCTTCAACAAAATGTGGTCTTCTCTCTTGGTTTTCGTTTATTTAATTTATGCTGCAGTATTCTCTTTTTTGTTCTGAAAAGAATATTATCATTTTTTACCTACATATTTCATCGATTGCTTCCTGAATGTGACTATTAAAAACAGACCAGCATTAACTCATTCACCCCTGAAGACACATTTGAACTTTTCCATTTCAAAAGACGGAATAGTTCATTATGAAATTTCAGGGGTTAATGCGTTTAACAAAGACTGCTTTTATATAAAACATCTGTTAACAATCTTCTTGGCTGTATATCGACGTATACTTGGTACAGATTTAAAACGTATATCTTCTGTTACACGTAGAAACTGAAGTAATTATATGCCGTATTAATTTGTCAAAACCAACACACAGAAATTATTCAGCGTTTTTTGTTGTTTAACAATTCGAAGAGTGGGATTTCTACATCATCAGATTCCAGAATGAGTGCCAAGTAGATGTAGACTATGGAAAATAAACAAACTAAATATATAGAATATGTACCGCAGTATACATAAAACTGTAACACTAAAGGAACAAAAAAATCCTTAAACATTAACACAAAGGGACATAAACTACAATGTAACGCATACAATAGGACAGAATAAAGCACGGTGCATACAATTAATGGATGCATACGAAGAGTCATCATTAATCGTCTAAGTCATCAATTAATAGAAAAAAATCGTTAATCACAGTTAACTCAGTGCTGACGACCGTAGGGTATTGTTTTGTAAATATCAGCTTCTTTGTAAAAAAAATCTGATTAAGTAACGTATTGTTTAGTATCCTAATCCATTTAGAACCTGATGATTAGAACAAGCTTTGGAGTAGTAATGGAAAATAGGATATCGTTAATCATTGTGTTCTATTGATTTACGCTCTCAGTTAAACAGAGATTTTTTTTATATAAAATACTGATATATCTAATGTGTATTTCACTCTTTTACCATATTCAAAAGATTGTTCTTATACATGTGTTACTGTTAATGGCATGTTATGTAAAGACAAATTAGAATGTTAAAATGAACATATTACAAGCATTATTTGTAAACGTAAATTTTGTTTCATATGATAGCAAAGCAACACACAAAGTTTATGCAGCGGTTAGTTTGAGATATATCCGAAGTGTCAACAAAATCATAATTCAAACTAAAAATTGATGAAACTAGGGCAAAATATAGACAAAGGACAGATTGATATCGAGACCCTGTAAGAAGAAAACTACCAAGTCTTTAGGAAGGGTAAGCGTCATCGGCTTCATCAACGACGTCGACAGCCACCATGTAAATCAAGGTCATATCAAAGTAATGTTACGTCCTCAAATAGAGACTTTGGTATCATAAAAAATACCACAAGCCACTTTTATAAACATAATAAAATGATATATTCTTTTGTTGATAACCTAGAATGTTGCAAAACTCTGATATAGATAAAGCTGCGCCACACGACATGATGAATATTGTAGAATCGTGTTACGTAATGTTTATACAGGTTTTTGTTGACTCGGGGGAATGTCAAAGCTGTTTTGCAGAAAATGTATTTTTCTCGCCAATGATTTTCATTTACAAAGATTGTCGATATATCAAGAAAGATAACTCTTACCAATTTAAAAACGTATGTTTTAAAATCCTCTTTTCTAAATTTGTATTATATGTTTTAACGAACGTCACTTATTTTTGAACTTATATCAATGGTTATCTATCTAACATTATATAATAAATAATTGTTACAGAAAACAACTGGTTTTGTCATTTAATCAACGATAAACATTGAAAGGTTCTCCGTAAAGTCTAGCTATAATGCAGTCTATTTTGATATTCAAATTTAAAGAAGATGGAGCTATGGGAAGAAAAGTTAGAAGGTTATTCGTTATTCAACATTAAACAAGAAAAGAAAATAATGCAGATGCCGGTGCCCAACATTTGAAAGGTAGCACGTTTAGGGGGTGCCACAGATAGTATTCACACCAATAAGATTGAAATAGACATTCACCCCGAGCCAGGACCAGAAACATAGAATTTGACCGAATCTCATTTTTGATAATTATCGAGTATAGCTAGGGTCCCTAAAAAGAGGAAGCTAAATCAGAATTTTAAGAAAGATCTGTCTAGAACTTGTCAATAAATAGGATAACAAACTTAAATTGTCATGAAATATGGATGTCTTTTTCGACCACAATATTTTTCTAAATAGCCTTAATATGAAACATGCACAACTAAGGAAATAAACATACGAATCGGAAAAACTTATTGAGAAATAGCCCTAACAACCTTGCAATTTCTAAATTCAAAATGGCAGCCCGTCAGCCGTCTTGGTAATCTGATAAGACCCTTTTATGCATAACTGAAGACCATGGAAATCTTCATGCATAATTTGATAAAGATCTCTCCAGTACTTCATGTGCAATAATACTGACATACTTAATCTCTAAACATTCCAAATGGCCGCTCGTCAGCAAACTTGGTTTTCTGATTCATTTCCAAAAAGAACTAGAGTGATTTTTTTTAAGTTTCACGTGAATGTTCCTATGTTCTGTAGTTACGCAACTCGAATTGGGGATCTGACATGAAAACCAAGATGACCGACAGGCGGTTACATGTATTTTGAATTTTGAGATTAAAAAAAATAGTGTTAGTGCTATTTTTCAGATTGTATTTGGAGGAGCTTTCTCAGTGATCACATGAAGGTTCCAATTGGTCACTTGCAAGGTAAAGTTGGACACTTATTCGTTATTCGTTATTCGTTATTCCAAATAACGAATAACAGTTTAACTTAAATTTCCAGGGTGAAAAAGTAAAGTTGGAAAGTTATTCGTTATTCAAAATTGAACAGAAAAATAAATAATCAGTTGCCGCCTCTCGGCCATCTTGGTTTTCATGTCAGATCCCAACTTCGATATGAGTAACTACAGACCATAGCAACATTCGTGTTTCGAATAACGAATAACGAATAATTGTCCAACTTTACTTTGCTTAAAAGGCACTAATAAAAGCACAGTTCGAGCACAAAACAAATAAAACAAGGGTTAACATATAAACAAGGAAAACGGAACATTAATTCCATAAAAAGTGCCAGGATAATAAGACCAGGTGTTCCGGACTGGTAAGCGTCTTCTTCGTCGATGACACTCAAATGTCAAATCCAAATAATGTCACGTCCTCGTATTGGAAACTCGGGTAGGTACAACGAAGTAATGTCATGTCCTCATATTGAAAACTCGGGTAGTTACAACGAAGTAATGTCACGTCCTCGTATTGAAAACTCGGGTAGTTACAACGATCCACAAGCCACAATAATGAGCAAAATCAAAATTATCGAACTTCATATCACACAAAGATTTGCATACACACAAAAAAAACCCCGAGGATTTTCTACAAATAACAAAATAAATACGTCCTTTACTTTGAATTCTTGTAAAAATGTATTTTGTCTGATTTTGCAGGTTCGGTAAAGTAAAAAGACACTGTTTTAATTTCTTCAGGACGGCTATTGTGGGCCTTCTGAGGAGTCGTTTGTGTCTTCCACTTAGGGGACATTTGATCTTTTCTACTCCTTCCCCTCAGGTGTGTCTCCATATGGTACCCTTGTTTATATGATCCGGGGTGTTGAGAGGGCTTAAAATCCTCAACAACATAATGCAAAATCATTTGAGACCAATAACAAAATATCAATATTAACTAGACACAGTCAAGTGGGCGCAAAGCTAACAAGTATAATGTATTTGCTAGAAACATAACACATGCCTATTTTGAGTACAATATATTGTATCCGGTGTAGCAAGAAAGACAACTCGTACTTATATCATTGTAGCTTACGTGACGCCTCAGTACATAGTGCCACTGAAAATAAATTACCGTGGTACACATACAATAATAAGGCAAATGCTTTGTGTCAACCCTCGCTTTTGGTTTATACTTGTACTGGAATGTTAATGACTTTTTATGTGTATGATCTGTCTTTACTAAACAATTACATTAAGAAATGATTTGCAGAAAGTAAACTTTACAATCGTCATGCACAAACAACATATTAAAATTGAGTACATAGTTTGCTGTCTTGTAAAATGAATATATTTCGTTTACCGTTATTAATTGGTGTCGTATTTGTTGGCTGACATCGGTCATCTAAAAAAGCTGAATATTTGAGAGAAAAAAACCCAGCAGCATAATCCAAAATAGTTATCTTAACATTCTCATTACTTATGTGTAGAACAACAAGCAAACATGTGAATTGCTGAAAGTTGATGCCATCACGTTAACGTTTTATAGCGACATACTTTGAACAATAATGGAAAATCCGATAAAAATGGTTAATGCTGAATATAATGCAGTTGAGAAAATAAATGTCTCTACCTCATCTAAATCAATATTCGCAAATACACAGAGGTATAATCTCCGTGTGATCGCGTTAGATACATTGTAAGATGCTTTATGAATGCTCAAGCATATGTTCCCAGCTGGTCTTTTTCACTAACCTTAACACTCCAGGTGTAACATTACTTTACATTCTCTGCAGTCCTGTAATATATCATTACCTAATTGACGTCTTGGTATGTGCCATCTAGCGTTTGGGACAAATATGATAGTATGATTCTTTGATGAACATCAAAATAATTGCGCAGCAGCAATACGGTAATATTGGCAAGCTTTAAAGTCGGTTCTCACTGTTCTGCAATCCACAAATATATGTATCATGCAAGTAATTGGTCAGTTCTCTTTCTTTATTCCCGAATCCAATCAAATATCTACATTGTAATCGTATGCCTTCTGTTTTGTCACGACATATTCCAGGGGCGTAGAGAAAGTTAGTCAGCGTCAACTACAGTATCTATAATATATCATAAGGTACCATGCTTCTTTTAATGAAAGCTCAGAAAAATAAACTTTCCAACAGGTCACATGCCATTGACATGTAGACTACATGGTGATCTACTGTCTGAATGAGTTTGAGGAGGATCCAAATATGCAAATTAAGTACGTGGTTAGTAATTTCGAAAAATAAACAAGGACATATTTCAATTACCTTTATTTACTTATTTGCGTTGGTTGATATCGATCGCCTTAAAAAGCTAAATATTTGAATATATACTGCACTATAATTGTAACAGACAGCAGCATATTACATAATTCTTCTTTGAAATAATTCTCTCATCATTTCAAAAACTTACGTGCAGAACAAGAAAACATTTAATTGCTCAAAATTGGTGCCAGTGCGTTAATGAATACTGTCAAGTGACATCCCCCTTTTTGTAACAACTTTTTTAGTTTTAATGGTTTTACTGAAATGTCATTTTCGCATATTAGATATAAATTCCTTAATTAGATAGATAACAAATAAAGAATATTTTCATGCGATTTGCACAAATATGGAAGTTATAATTCCTGACAACATCTTAAAGTGTTATGGATTTTTTTATCTGGTATTTTTAATTCCTGAAATATTTCCATAAACTGAAATTCAGACAAATACGGTCTGAAAGTGTTTAATGCTGTAAACGTTCTGTACACATATGTTATGGATCGCAGAAAGAGTATGCTGGAGAAATATCATGAAAGTTCACGTGTAATGTAATGAGCTAGTTAAACCAGGTTACCATTAACGATTGTCAATGGGGCTTTTACAACCATATTTTGTTTCAATAAATCAAACAATATAAATGGAACTATTTGATATACAGATTTAATTAATAAGTTATTTGCATCTGTGATAAACATTCATAAATATATTGAAGCAATCAAGTCTCCGCAGGCATGCGTAAATGTGCATAACATGTTTCATTTAGGATTGGTTATCAACACTAAGCCGGTCTGGCTTATGATTGATTGACATATTTATTGGTGTACGCCAAGGAGATTTCTTTTTTTAATTAGGTTTATTATGGTATTGTATTTGTTTTTCAATTTTTCAATGCATCATTTATGACTACAGGGACAGTTTTACGGAGTTTGGTAACAGTCCACGTTGCAATTTAAACATTTGTGTGTTTTGTACATTTTATATTCAATATTTTGGCCATATCTTGCTTCATTGTCATAAAATACTATCAATTACGCATGGTGGTATTCGTCTTCTTACTGTAAATTCTAATATATATATATATTAATTAACTGTCTTAACTAATTTCTTTATTTTATGTTTTAATACAGGAAATGCATTACACAAAAAGTGAAATATTTTCTTTTATAAATAAACAACACTTGCCTTATGATTCAGATGTGTTATTATTAGATATTATGTCAATAAACTCATATTTCCCGTCATATTACTGATGTCAAGCTCAGAGTGACCTGACTATAACAACCAATCAAACTGCTGGAACGTATCAATCACTCGCACGGAAAGCGATAGCTTGTTTATTTATTGCTATCGACGTCACAAGTGTTTGTTCTGTTATTCCTATTTTTTTTCTTTTTCTTTTTAAATTATATTCTAATCATAAGATAATGTGTCTACTAAAAGTAATCTCACTGAGTGGGAAAGGTATACTAATTAATATTTATTATTTATCGTCTATCACTGCTTACTTGTTTTTTATTAATTTGATTTTCCAATTTATTAATCCAGTCATATAAACTAAATAAAAACTTCTTGATATTGATCCTGCATTGAAACAAACAATTGACGTTAAACATTAGTTTTAATTTTGTGTATATCATTTACTTAAAGCAATGCCAGTCACCTCCGCGATGAACTGGTTTCGTCATTGGCAAAAAAATGCATTACATTAAACTACACTGCTCATCCAAACCACATTCATATGTTTCTTAAGCATTTATGGTTTAATATGTGGATTTTTGCTTTTGTAAATAAACAATACCACATCAACAAATATCTGAAGATGTCCTATTCTCTTTTTAGGGTCTCTGTTTTATACCGTGACGTCCTGATTTTGTCGCATATCAACACCAGGTGAATTCGTCAGCAGCTCCGACACTGACGTACAAACACACAAAAAAACACACACACACATATATATAGCCATACCACGGTGTGTATATACAGGCTGTGTTGTCTTAATCCTTCTAAAGGTTACAAGGACTGATCAGACAAGGACATTATCGGTGAGTATATGTTACTTGACCAGTGATTAGTTTCACTTACATTTTTCACCATAGGTAAAGACCTTTTGCCTAAACTTTATCAATTCTTTCCGTATGGTGAAATTTTAATCAAGGAGAAAAATTAAGGTATTTTTTTAAAAACCAAAGTGAACATAAAGTCAAGTTCTATAATTCAGGAAATGTAATGTTAGCAATAGTATCAATTTGGCAGCTCTTTACAATGTGCTATATGAGGATATCGCGACATATGATTAGTAAATTTAATAAATTTCTGATACTGTCAATGTGGTCATCCAGTTGAAGATACTTATCATTTCTTTTTTGCTTGTAAAAATAATTACGAATAAAGAATTAAATTATATCGTGAACTAGACTATTTCATTCCTCTGGACCTGCAGCTGATACTGTTTGGTAATTTGGAATTAAGCCAACAGGATAATGAAATAAAAAATTTAACACACTCGGCATATATTCTAGATTCACTTAGATTTTGATCTGTATATTTCAATATGTTATAGGGAAAGGGCTTTACATAAGTTGGAAAACTTGTGCCCAATCCCTTTTGTATATTAGATGCAAATAGAAATATGTTTAAATAATTATTAGTACATTTTACATATAGATTTTCATGAACATGATGTGCTTGTGTACATGTACTGTGGAAAGTGGTTTTAATGAAGTATGAAGTTGTGCATTTGAAGGTCATTTTAACAGCATCTTCTACATCTATGTATCATCTAGATAATAGCACAATTTGCTTACTTGGTGTAAATTGAAGAATACGGAATTTAATACACATATACTGTAAATAATGTTAAGCGGGGAAATATCGCAAACGTTTGAAACGAACTGAACAAATCACATCACACTGCCTATTTTAAAAAAAGAAATATATGCCACTGTAATGAACCAATCTGGTTCTATCCACTATGAATACATGTTTAAATAATTGTATTTAGTTTAAACTTTCTTTTATTCAAGTATTTCAATTATATACATATATATGCAATATATATGTATATAACATTTTGTAACAAAATAGGAAATGGAAACAAGTGTCTTAGACACTTATGTAAATTTATCACCTTATCATAATCTGCAAAATATATTCAGGATGGACAGCATATTGTCTCCAATGAAAAATACATACAATAATACAATCAGTGACAACAGTTTAAACAAGGAGAAAGAAAAGGAGATAATTAATGGTGAAGGGTTTTGGTTGTTAATGGGTTTTACTTGTCCTTACATACGTACAATTCGGCTTTAAGCACATATATGTTTATGCAATATTAAATCAATAGGAAAACCTGTTTGTTTTTGATATATAATCTTGGACAGCTAGGAAGATAACCTTATTTTCTTGTAATGGCAATGTCTCGTTCCCAAACAGTAGAATATCTGTGATATTATAAGGCAAAGAATATAAATACTGTCTTCTTATGCCATCATATCTGGTACATTCTAAAAGAAAGTGAGCAGTGTTTTCAACTTGACCGCATACACATAGCGTAGATTGAACAATAGTTTTACTAAATAAATGACTGTTTAAGGAACTGCATTCCATTCGTAGACGAGCATGGTATATTTGACCCATACGGGTTCCAAAAGTGTAGTGGATTGGTACTTTTCTACTTAACTGTTTATCAAGGTATGATTTTATAGCAGAAACAGACGGATTTGATCTAACATCAGACGGTAGTTTATTCCATTGATCTATAGTAGATGGTAAAAACGATTGTTTATAAAAAGCAGTTTTGCACAATATTTGAGTGACACATGTATGGCCTGAGTTCATTGTATCATATCTATGTCCATCCGAAACTTTGTGAGGAACAAGATTATACAAATATTAAGGCGTATATTGGTAAAACAATATAATTGTATTTATCTAAATCATATCAAGTGAAAAGGTATGTGTGGCTGATTATTTTTCTTATTTACCAGCATAGCTGATTTTGTTTGTTACTTATGGTAAATCTTGACATCACTCGGGGCAAATGAACTTTAACCTACCAAACATTAGTTTTCTTCTTTCAATTTGACCATTAGATCCGGGTTCGCCAATGTCTTTCCTTCAGAAAACAGTTTAATTAATATAAATGATTCAGGCTAAAAAAATATTTTTAACTAAACGAAAAATTTCTTTCAAATATTTACTGGTTTGGCGAGATGCATTAATTCGCAAATGTCATAGTTCGTGTAGAAAGATTATCTTAGCGGCGTAGCGTATTCTATATCGGTATGTGAGTCTAATCTTTAGGAGTGCAAACAGTTGTTTTTGATATATGGAATTGATTACATTGTATTTGTATGATACTATTTCCCCTGTATCTACGTCATTTTATTTGTAACAAACATGTCAATCATCATATAGATAAACTATAGATGTTCCTTACAAAAAATCAGTCTGTTTCTGATAGGCAAGTACATGTACCATCAGCCTTCATATCAGACTGGCCACCATTGGTACGTTATGCCGACTTATCCCCGATAAATATGTGGACTAACGACTTAAGTATCATCTCAATACCATCCTATTATAAAGATATCCCTGATACACTAAACAACTTACGGATGTATAATTGTGTCATCAAGCAGATGTACTTTTCAGATTTTTTTTCCTGTGCCATCTCAGAATTTATTCATGAAAGGTATCATTTTAATCATGTTGATGTCACCTCGTTTTATTTTTGTTCCGACTAGAGGGCGAGGGTATTCATCATGTTAACCAGACTTGTTAAGGTCGTGAAATATGACCCCATTAATATGAGAAATGTTGTGTTTTCTGACATATTTGGCAGTGCTACAAAAGAATAGGTTGGAAGGCGATCATCTATTATAATGTAACGGAACACTCTAGCATAAGAGATATTATCTTCCTTTAGCTAAAGAAGGGCATTTGTTTCGCTTATATCGTTTAAATTCTTTGGAACACAAAACTAAATATGTCCACGTTAAAAATAAAATGGTCTAATCATAAAACATCCTCCTATTATTCTTAGAACATATTTACTTTCACTACATCTATATATAGCTCATGGTACTATTAATATACCTTATGAAGAGGTTTTGTTTTTTATTTCTGTCTCTGTTAATGAGCATAACGGGGTTCAGTTTAAAACAGTGTATATATGAACAGGTTCGGGAAACATTTCCTGCATAAATCGTTAAGTGGGAAAATCTGATTAACATCTAATTTTTCCTGTTGAATGTCTTGCTACAAATCTGGTAGGCATGATTAACGTTGCGATTTATCGTTATTACAAGGTCAAGATAACTTGACCTTTCATGTACCTGTCTTATCAAACAATGCCAAGCAATGTCAACCAATGTCACACAATTGTCAGACCAACAGTGACGTGTTACAGTACAGCTGTCGTGATGTACAATACACCGTGGTGTACAATACACCGCGATACACCGTGATGTACAATACACCGTGATGTTGGGAGATAGTTCAATATTGTTGTTTTTTGTTTTTTGATTAATTCATGAATCGACCGGAATCAGAATGATAAAATTGCGTTATTGTATTATTTTCGCAATAGAATCATTTAATGAAGTTGTATTAACTGTCATATTTTTATACTAAAACAAAGATACAAAACGGAGATCTTTAAACGGAAACACAAATTTTACTGTATTCTTGTAGAATGCAAAATGACTTTTCATGGTGTTATACATGTACGTGGGGGTCTCACCCAAACTGAGCAGATGGCAACGAATAACAAAAACGTTAATAATAATATAGACTATAATCTTCCTTTGTTGTGCAGTGTGTATTGAGTAATACATTAAACAAAGGTACCTGTTTGTATAGTTTAGGTCATATTCTCCCCTGCGAATTATGTTTGATTTTGACTAGATGTGAGAATAAAACAAATATTAACAAATAAAACCTCTCTTCAAACAGGTGAATATTACTTTCCTCAGTAGATGTTTAACATGGCGTGGCTGTGGGCGTTAGTATGGATATCCTTGTGTATGGTGCTGCCGATGGCGCTGTCACAGAGAGTATCGAGTTTACCGAACAGTAAGTACCTTTCCTATTATTATTGAAATTATCAAAACAATTGCACTTACAACTATGTAAAGAGTACAGAGTAGAGACAGGAATTAACACAAATTTCTTGACTAATATTTGTATTTTTCCTGGATAAAAGTGTTTTAGGTTCAAGTAAACTTTCGAGTATTAAATTATTACAAAAGTACATCCCGGGCATTAACTAAACTGCAACTTAAGATAAAGCCGTAAACTGTACAATGTGATTTACAACGAGTTAGCAGACTGAAAATACATATTGGTAAATCAATTTCTTTCCTTGTTGTAAGATCTGAATCGATACAACGTATCATTACTGGTGCTGAAATTAGTAACAAGCCTGAAGTTGTTTTTCACAAATGCAAATGTGAATGTTAATGTGAATTTCAAATACGAACCTCATTTCCCTGTGGAAATCATAAGGTACATGTATACATTCCGTCATATTTGGAGTGTTTGTGTCGGTCACCCATTTAATTTTCGTTTTCGTTTTTTCCCCAATTTTATCAAATTGCTTAGAATTTACCCCAGAATTTGCGAAAAAAAATAAAAAATAAAATATTTCATGAGAAATATTGTTCTTCGTGTTTTCCCATAAAAAAATATTTACAAGGTTAGAATTGATTAATAATCATAAATTTTATTTTGATACTCACGATGCAGCAGTTTGAAAATAAGAACCGAAACAAAACGACAAACGTTTAAAGGGGCATCACGGTGAAGTAACTTTATTTTTTGTCTTTTTTTCAAATACTACATAAACATATCAAGTGAGACTCCTTATGGAAAATAACGATCGGATTTGGCTGAAATAGATTCATAAAAATGATTAAATCTAAGAAAATCATCGGTATTTCTACCTGTCTGACCAACGTTTTGTTCAGGGATTTCCCTCTACTAGCGCATGCGCATAGCACACCATTTCTTTGTAAACAAAATGACTGGCCGTGTGAAGTAAGCGAAAGAAAAGTGTTGTACCGTGTCAGCTACGAAACGAAAAGTTGCCAAATGGTCTAAAGATAGCGCAAGGAATACGTTACGGAATCATTATTGCAGGTGGGCAGTATTCAAAGGAGAAAATAACTGCCGTAGCAGTTAGTACGGTGCATGTATTCTTCCGGTTAAGCTGAAATGGAATCGACAGAAATGCTAGCGCTGTTTATGTTATGAATAAATATCTAAAACTATTAAGCTCGCTAGTATCTTTGTCTGAGTTTGAACACAGATGAACTTAGTTTAATATGTTAATGGACATGTATTGGAGAGAGTTTACTTTGTGTTTCTATAATTATACAGTGGTTTATGCGAAAGGAAGGCATAAGTGACGGGTTAGTTTGATTTTTCCATGAGGCCCTCCAAGGGATAACTGTTGTGATGGCCCACGGCGTATTTTCTGGGTCACCGAGATACGTGTTATCAGTCCGTGGATTTACATAATTTATCATATTACCGAGTTCAATAAAATGGTATGATTTAATTATATTGCTGAATTAAACGATTATTTTTGTTTTTACATGCAAGATTTAAATTAGTACTAATATGAATACCCGGCCTCCTCTGCCCCGGCAATATATAAAAAAAATCAGACAGGTTTGTCCCTTGGTGTAGGCAGGGATGTGTACACATCCCTGGTGTACAGTAGGGAAGGTGTTTAGCCCCGTACCATCTGTACCGGCCACATTCCGGTACTAAATTCAACATATATTTAAATATATCTACTTTATGTTTATGCCTATTATCATTGTTGACATTTAACTGTAAATTTGTATGACGGGAGAAGGCTGTGATAAATTGTAAAAACTTATGCCCCATCCCTTGTTTAATTTTATTGGCAACAGATTTATGTTTAAAGCTAAATAAATTTAAATTCTGAATATTAGCAAGTATGCAATTAACTTCTAATGATTAATAATCAATGTTCAATATGTTTGAATACGGACTTAGAAATCATATAACTTGGTTTCATAGTGCGGTAAGAAGTTGCAGTTGCCTGACGGCCCCTCTCTGGGGGCCCCTTTGGAAACCGTTTCATCTCGCTCGCACCACTTGTGTTTACTGCCTAGTCAGGTGACGTTATCGGCGCTATTTTTAGCAGGGCTTTCCCGAACAATTCAAGTGGTCAAACTGGACATTTGGAACGGACTATGAATATGGGGATAGCGAGGTAACATAAGTGGAAGTGCATACAATACATACATTCATTAAAAAAAAAACGCCTTTTCACGTGATGTCCCTTTAAAGCTCGTGTGATGACCACTGCAATAAAGTTATGTATTTTAACAAATGTAAATAGCAAATATTACCGGTATGTCAACAAGTGCCCTCTATGTATACATGCTATAATGTTAACAGTCTATATAACAGTGTTATTTCTGTATAAAGGGTGTTATCGTGAGCCAGAGCCGGCGTCGTGTAAGATAGGTCGACCGCGGTACTACTTCAACGTGACGACGGAACTGTGTGAGTACACGCGGAACACACGGTGCTCGGGACGTCGGCCGACGTTCTTCTCCACAGCGTCCCAGTGTATGCAGAGGTGTGGCTGTAGGGCGGACGCCGACCCAGGGCCGTGTGATGGTTATAGCACCAGGTTCTACTACAACAGCAGGTACAGGATGTGTACACCTTTTGTCTTTGGAGGATGTGGGGGGAACTTCAACAACTTCAAAACCTTCTTCGAGTGCCAATGGTCGTGTAGACCAGGATTCTTCTCCTTTGACTCCGACTTTGAATTCTGAGACCAACATGTCATCGAGACACTTTCGCTTAAGTAACACTAATATTTATCCGGTGTGTTCTGTATCTGTGTACGTAAGTGTGGTTTTAAAGAGGAGCTTCCTGATTTCTTTCGTTTGTGTTTCTACACATCATGATCTAGTTCTGTTATTATCTTCTCGTATAAAATGATAGATCCAATTTTGCTTATGTGTTGAAGCTGTGATATAGTTTATTGTTTGTTATTGATTTTGAATAGTTTTCCTTGCGTGTTGTCGCTGTGGTACAAAATGTATATATGTATATACATGTATAGTATCCTTCCATGTTGACGCAATGCCATACTGTATCCTTGTTTGTTGCCACTAAGATATTTCCTTTCTTTAATATTTAGTTATCCGATTCTCCTCTTGTATGTGTATGTATACTAATGCTTGTTCCTTTCTAACACATATGATAAAAAATATTGTGTTATCCATTTTTTTCTGACGATCAATTCTGAATTTCCTACGACTACAGTACTGGTAGTACAATGTATAGTTGATAAAGATACCGTACATATGTAGCCGAGGTCAAACCTTTTTAAATATATATATATAAGCAATGTCGCGGAGATATCTATCATATGATTTACACACGTTTACTTTGTGTCAATGTGCTAGTGTCAAACTCATTCGGAATACCCTTTCGTCATATTCTACGAAACTATGGTCACGAACTGTTACTTTACCTCATATGTATTTGCGTCACAACGTCCATTTTTAGTCGATTTAAAATCTCGCCAAAATTGGTTTGTCTGTTCATCTCTATTGCTTAAATGGTGCATTTAAAAAAAAAATTGAATTAAAACAAAAGAACAAAAACTTGTTTTTATTTCTTGACTTCTTTTAGAGATGTGATAGGTATGTGCAATGGTGATGTGATTGCTAGAAAAGGAACTATCTCACACTTATAAAAATGTATAGGAGAAAGAGTTAGGTTAAACTTGTGATGATATTTTGATAAAAGTAAGAAAGAGTTTAGCAAAATAGTCACCAGAAATACGAAAAAAGGAAGCCTCTGTTATAATCGTTTTGTTGATGCAGAAAGCGAAACAAGGCTAATATTTACTGCAATACATGAACATTTCGTCAATGCAGGACTCATTAGTTGTACTAAAGGTCAAATCAGTTGTACTGAAGGTCAAATCAGTTGTACTGAAGGTCAAATCAGTTGTACCAAACGTCAAATCAGTTGTACCAAACGTCAAATCAGTTGTACTAAAGTTAAATCAGTTCAACTACGGTCGAAAGAACAAAGGTATACATTGATCACTCGCAATGAACTCAATACCGATACGACAGAAAAACCACGGAACAGATAGGACGCAAAACAAAAGAAAATTCAACAACAGAAAGGGAGGAGATGTCAACACAAAAGGAAAGACAGCAACAGAAACAGAGGAGACGCGAAAAAAAAATAGAAACGGTTAACGCGTTAATGAATTAACATATTCATCTTAATATTGTTTATACATCTACATTATTCTTCACGTTTCGGCTTTAAGGTCCTATATAAACACTGACAATACAAACACTTCAATGTCACAAATGTTAGATATTAAGAAATATCTATATCAAGATCACTGATAAACTCTATCTAGAAGGTAGTAGTATTGAACGGAGCAGGCTTCATATCTAATAAGAATATATCCTATTTGAGTTACCGGAATGAATGTTGAAATATCTCTGTTCCATTCAAATATAACGTTTTGATGTTTGAAAATCCATTTGTACGCTGGTTTTTATATCGAATTCTTTATTTTAGTATCTTTAATGTAAAAATACACAGGATTAAAGGAAACATGTGTAGGACTAAACAATTATTTGAAGTGACTAATAGAGCATGCTGACAGATGAAATAGACATAGCATCAGTCATACCTGTATAACGGGAAAAGGGGGGACATATGGAAAACTGACTAATTAAGTGTTAATTATAAAATTAACCTATTATGTCTGGTACAGACTGTGAGATGTAGCACTGTTTCACACTACGGTGGATGTCACGAAATAGACAATAAAAAGAAACATTGATAACAGATTGATATTTATATCGTAAATAACCACATCTTTGATATTATTCTAAGTAATCAGATATACAGATGTATGTTTATAGCGCTTTTTAAAAATCATCTTGGTTCAAATGATATTCGATACGTTATCTGATTTGAATCAAATTCTTCGTTTTGACATATATTCGTGATATATACTTCATGCATATAAACATAAACTTGTATTCATTTTACAATAATTATTAAACAAGTTATTTAAACTTATATTTATCAATCTTGTTGGTCCGGATGTTAGTCCTAGCGCGCGAGGGTATTATGTGGGAGGAAACCGGAGTACCCGGAGAAAACCCATGTGGTCGGGCAGGTGACCCCATACCTGTTCACGTCCGATCAGGGAGTCGAACCCATGCCGCCTTGGTGAAAGGTAAGTGCGCTATCCACTGCGCCATCCGACCAGTTCAAACAATTATGCCTTAGTGCAATGATGTCCTGAACACCGATCATCGCCTGAACAAATTTAAACAAAAATAATGAATCATAATAAATGTGATAAAAACGTCAAGTAATGTTTGTTTACTTTCCTTGTATTTATTCCGTCTCGTAACAACGATGGAACTCTCTGTAATCTGTTCATTCACCCAAGTCAATCTCTCCTGTTGGCTCCAGGTCACAACCTTCACCTTAACCTGTGTCGTGTCCACTCCGTGGTGACCACGTATATGTTAGTATTTCCTGTTTACTCAGGAAATTCACCTTCACGCTTGTCTGTTTTATAATACTTAACATTAGTCAACCCACAGTTTAGAACGAATATGTGGAACATCTATCATTTGTGGTATTTGTACACGACACGCATTCTCATAGGTTAACTTTAACTACATGTATTTGTTATAAAATGTCATCTGCCCCTGCTGGCTGATGCCAGGTACTTGTAATAAGTCACCATCTGCCCCCAACTGGTCTACATCAGCTACCAGTTACAAGGATAAGATACTTGTTATATGACGTCATATGTCCTGGCAGGTCGACATCAAGCACTAGCAATACGACGCCATAGGTGTATCCTGGAATGTCAATAAGAAATACATGTACTTGTTATATGACTTAATCTGACCATTAAACTTATATTTATCACTCTTGTTGGTCCGGATGTTAGGCCTAGCGCGCGAGGGTATTATGTGGGAGGAAACCGGAGTACCCGGATTCTGACCATGGTCGATATTAACAATATAATCTTATTATATGACGCCATCTGTGCTAGCAGGTCAACATCAGATACTGTTTAAATGACGTCATCTGTTTTCGCAGGTCGATATCAACCACTTATTTTATGCCGTCATCCGTTCTAGCAGATCGATATCAGGTACTTGTTTATGACGTCATCTATCTTTGCAAGTTGATATCACACTTTATTTTCAGGGTTTGTCGTGAGAACAATTTTGTCATCGCGAGCGCGTGGATTAAATCGAGAGGCCACCTCGTTGTTCTATTTATCATCTATATACTACTACTACCTTATATATTTCTCCATTTAAAAAAACCTCAACTAAACACCATGTTTTCAAATGACTTCTAAGCTCAATGGTAAACGATCGCCTGTGACAAACGTTAACAAACAGAAGTTTTGCGCAGAGGAATACAATGAACCTTAAAACTACGTTGAAAAAAATATTTATAAAACAATCTTATCGTCATTGACTTTTCCATATGCGCATTTACACCTGAAATGGTGTTGATATTTTCACAAAATTTGTGACGGACTATTTTCTTACGCGGTTCCCTTTTGTGTGGACATTATTTCCGGTTTCGGACTTCATCTGGCGCGAGCAGACGTTCTTTTTTGAGAAAATACGTTCCCAAGTGCTGGGGAAAGGGAACATACGTTCTCAAGTTCTTCTCAATTTGTTTTGTTCTCAAGTCGTTCTCAACTTCTTTTCATATTGACAACCAATGATAATGAATCTGTCATGCTACCGGTAGGTGGTATAAAGTAGCATATAGCTGATAAATGGCGTTAAGTGTCCTAAAAGGTCGATATCAAGTACTTGGTTTATGACGTCGTCTGTCCTAGCAGGTAGATACCAACTACATAAACTTGATATAAGACGTCATGCATTTGTCTCAGCGGGTCGACGTCATCTACTACCTGTACCAGTACCTGGGATAAGACGTCTTCAGTCCTACCAGGTCGACGTCGGCGATAAGAGGTCTTCTGTCTGTCAACCTCAACTACATATTCTAAGTCAACGTCGCTATCCCTCTCAGCGGGCTGATCATCGGTTATATTCGTTATTTGTCAGAAAGTTAAAACATCTTCAGACTTACGTACCCAATCAATTTATGAACAGAAAACATAATTACTGTAAGATGATATTTCTCACATTTATTCAAAACCAAATTCAAATCCTTTCTCTAATGTTATTTCTCTTTTAATGAAGGTCCATTTCCGACGATAGAGTGTTAAACCACAATATAAACGTGTAAGTATATAAAAAATGGGAAATATAACATATATATCCTAGACGTTTGTTCTCTCTTAAAAGACATATAACGATTTTGATAAAACAAACTAATGTCTTTGCTAATTGCATATAAACATTCCATTGTTTTGTACGGAAGTCTACCATGGAGATAATACATTTCTGACACATCGTTTGTGACAGCTACCCATGCATAACGTCTAACAATGTATCATAGCACGTCGTATTAATGTTTACTGTATACACACACCTGTGTTTATTGTAAATGTTGGTTATTCACTAAGCCGCCCTCGTAAACCTACATGTAACACCTGCTTGTTAATTTATTTATTTTACAACAAATATGAAACAAAGTTATGCAACTAACATTTATCACTCCTGTTGGCTAAACCCGGAAGCTTTGAGGTATACATTTTGAAATTATATTGTAATTCTGAAGTACCTGAAAAAATACTCGTGTTCGGGAAGGTGACTGAACACAAATAAATGTACATTTTCACGTCTGACTCGTGTCACACCGAAGGTACAAGTGTGCTTTCCAGCTCGCCACCCAACCACCCTGCTGGAAATAGCTGGTGTTTTTTCTTCAAATTATTAGGTAAGATTTACTAGTATATCGTTCTTTTAAATACTAATGAAGATGTAATTAATTTATATATGCATACCTCAAAAGCGTAATTATATTTTAATTTCTTTATTTTAAAATTGGATATACTTTTTCTCTTATTTAGTATTCATCAAGATGGGATTGTTCGATTGAAGGTTCAATGTGCTTAACTGTCGCTAATATCGCCAATTGATGGCAAAAAATGTAACTTTCGGTAAGAATATAGACACCATGGTGACTGTGACTGTAGTAATACCTTTTCCCTAAAACCGTTGTCTCAGGGGTCGATTCGGATCACCTCCGACAGTGCTTCGAAGGGACATGCTTCTTACATATATGGTAGCGTTCGACGTTTAGTTAATTTATTATTCTTTATTAATGTATGTTATGCATCAATTCAAAAAAGGAAACATAAAAACAATATGCACATCTTTTTTTTCTCTGAAAATTTAAAAATGTAGGTTGCTACATTCCGTTGTAAATCGGAAAGGTATAGGGTCAACGCCTATGGAAATTTAACATTAGCGTCGGCCCCCGCTTGAAGTTTCAAAACAAGATAAATACAAAAAGGTATGGAAGCTTAAATCAGTAACCGTTAGTTTCAGAATTCATTTTAGGATAAATGGGACCTCATTGACTTACACCTGTGTGGGTGTTAAAGGTGCGGTAATAAAATTCCCCCTAGAGCATTTGAATGACACAATTAACAATTAAT